ACCACATATGCAAATTTTACTCCTCCCAAAATGTTAAAATAATAAACGTGTGAGAGCGTGTTATAGGCTATATGACATTATAGTCAGATATGACTGCGCTAATGCAACATGCATCACCGCAGACGAGTAGCTGAGTATCTCTTCAGCAAGCCGAATGAAACAAAGTAAGACGCAGACGGTCAACACACAATCATCTTAATTAAAAGTAGTAAGACAAACTTATCTTTCCAGTGCTGATGCCGTGCGCGCGCTCTCCTATTGCAGTCTTTGATCTTGAAATGAGCTGATAATTAATAAAATGCAGCGCTTATCTTTTGATTTCGTTGACGTGAACTCCGTTAAATTGAAATATAGTGCGGGAATTGAAGATCGGTGGTAATGCTAATTTGTCATGTTGACAAAAAAAAAGCTGCTTTGTTTGATTTGGATCTTGTTCGGTGCTGGTTTGGTGCTCTAATCGCCACTGAATAATTCAGACTCTCAAGTCTCAAGTCTCTTTAAGTTCACAGCAAAGGTGTCGTTCATTACAAAACATTTTATTTTAAATCTTATATCAATTGTTTTAATAATTTAAAACACTATTTGTTATTATTTGGGTAAATGTTTTGCTTGAAAAGTGTATTTTATACTATATTTCAGTTACAGATGTTTAATTGCAGTTAACCGTGAACGGCTGCTTTCGTGTTAAGCGGGTTTTTCCAGCTCGTGGAACATCCCCCTTCAGTTTATGCAACTTTAATATCTTCAGACCTTGCACAGTTTCCCTATTGCACTAAAAATACAACACTGGACTTACTTATGCATGAACTCACAGAAGAATGCTGATCTCTACTTTAACCCTAAAATGCATGCATGACCTGAGCATTTTTGCTATTTTGTTCAAATTAAGTGTTCTTTTTCATCATTAAGGTGTCTTTGGTCATATAAAATATTTTTTAATATTTGGGTTTCCATTTTAAATTAAAGGGGAATTTGTATTTTTAATACACTATGTGAGTAAAAATTTTATTTCCCATCTGCTGTCTCTAAATGTTATGTTATAGGCAATGTTAACTACAATAAGCTCACATTTATATTTATTAGGAAGATAAACAGCAAGATGCTTTTTTCTGGATTTACAGTGAATTTCTTACAGTTGACAACCTCCCTAAAACAGCCTGAAGTTATAAACACACTCATGTTGTCACAAATCAAGCCTCTGTGGCTCCCTCCGATCACCACCAGAGGGTTCCGTCACTTGAGTAATGACTATTCTCCAGACTTCAATTCCCACAACCCCATGCGTGGGACTGATTACCTGCACACCTGCGCCTCATTCCTGGGACTGTTTAAGAAGCTCTCAATGGGGCTGCTTACACCTGGTCGCTTCATGCATTTTGTGTGATCGGATAGCTATTCGATCGTGAAAAGACCAGGTGTAAATGCCCTCCAAAACGCATTCGAGACAGATATAAATCCGATCGCTCAAACCACTTCAGGAGGTGGTCTGGGCCGCATTCTAGACGAAACTGGACCAGTGTAAATGCATCTGGTTGTTGAAACCACATATGCAAATTTTACTCCTCCCAAAATGTTAAAATAATAAACGTGTGAGAGCGTGTTATAGGCTATATGACATTATAGTCAGATATGACTGCGCTAATGCAACATGCATCACCGCAGACGAGTAGCTGAGTATCTCTTCAGCAAGCCGAATGAAACAAAGTAAGACGCAGACGGTCAACACACAATCATCTTAATTAAAAGTAGTAAGACAAACTTATCTTTCCAGTGCTGATGCCGTGCGCGCGCTCTCCTATTGCAGTCTTTGATCTTGAAATGAGCTGATAATTAATAAAATGCAGCGCTTATCTTTTGATTTCGTTGACGTGAACTCCGTTAAATTGAAATATAGTGCGGGAATTGAAGATCGGATTTAAATCCATTTTGCGACGACACATTTATGTGGCCAAGTGTAAATGGAAACGTTTTAACAAATCCGATAGATATCCGATCAGCGAAAACGCATGAAATGACCAGGTGTAAACAGGCCCAATCTGTCACTCGTTGTGAAGTCTTGTTTTGCTGTGGCTAACATTTCTGAGTGTTCTCTACCATATATTGATCTCTTGTGTATGACCCTGGACTGTACTGCCTTGTTTGATTCTCTGCTGCCTGCCTTTGTGACTCTGCCTCGTTGTACTAAATGCTCGCTGCCTGGTCTGCTGCCTGTCCTGATCATCTGCCTGTATACTGACCACGCTGTTGGCTCTGCCTTGGATATCATATGCCGGCGATTGAACTCTGCCTGTTAGTTTTTGAGCACTTGTAAATAAAGCTGCACATGGATCCCAGCTCTGTTGACTCATCGTTACACATGTTTTCTTAACAAGCTAAGTGAGAGTAAACTCAATACCATAAAAGAAAACCCTTTGCATTTTTAAGACTACAAAAAGTATTATTTCATTATTAATCATTCTTCCAAATAAAGGCGTCTCCAAATGTACCCAAATTAATTTAGCTACAAATTTTTCCTTAAAGCAAAATATGTCAAAAAATTTCTAAATTCTTAAATATATTTTATTGACAATTTTTTGATAGACATTTATAAGCATCAAATTATATCCCATGTGAGTTTTGACCTGCATATATGTCTTCAAAATTCAGTTATGTGTTCTAGCCTGGCTTCTGATTTCTATCTCCTTATGCAAATGTTCGAACTATTACTGCTAATTAACATTTAGACCTCATATTAGCTTTTGGATGACAAACTCATGCTTTTTGTCTAATGATGCAGTGCTGTTGTTTTAAAATGATCAATTCAACGTTTAGACACAAAAAAAACAGATGGTTTTTATTCAGCTCTGTGTTTGCTCAAGCTGGAGCCACTAGGTGAGAGATTTTTCTGCTTTTTGACAGGATGTCACACCTGTAAGGTTGAAGAGAACAGAAGGTGATGTTAAAGGTAGTGAAAAAAAATTCTAAAGGAAAACTAATGGCATTTTATGATAATTTGACATATCAAAGTAAGCTTTACAATGCTTTTCACAATACAGATTCTTTTAAAACAGCTTTACAGAGCCCAGTGCCCCCCATTCAACAAGTCAAAGGTGACAGTAGCAAGGGAAAATCTCCATAAGATGTGCAGGTGTGCAAGGAGAGAAATGGAACCAAGACTCAGTTTGGGAAATATGTTTGTAAATATGCCAAATATTATCTACTTGCATAACGTGTAAAAGTATAGCAGATGTTTACTGAATAAATTATTAAATAATTTTATGCTATCCTACAGCAGGATCTTATTTGATTCTTACAAGATTATTATTTGATCCTTGTATTGGTTCCAAATTAAGACAGATATTCCTTTATGAATATCTTTTGACAAAGATTTGACCAATAAACTCTAAATGTAGACGTTTTATGTTTCTTGCAAATTATGAAATTAATTATATTACAAAATATAATTAAAATATAAACATGAAATATGAAATATTACAAATATTTATTTTGCAGCATATAACATGCATGTTCTATTGAGATTGACTTTTTCTATTTCATGTTTTCATGCTTGTGGTTACAGAGACCCCATGTATGGATCAATGACATGATTTTTTAAATGATTTATTTTGGTCTGCATTTATACATTTATTTTCAAAAAAGGCATTAAATGTGTTGCATAACCAACATGCTGAAAGCCATTTTGCGGTAAATTGAGATGAAAATAAAACAGAGAGGACCCAAATGAGAAAAAAATATATTTTAATCATGACAACTTTCGGAAGATTTTAGCATGGTGATGGATATGACAATATTAATGTATTTGGTCTTGGCGGAACAGATCTGCTATGCTGCTGCTGTTGGTTATTGCTGTAGTTGTAGATTATTGCTGCTGCTGCAAGCAAGTACAGGAACTTGCTACTGCCAATGCATACGGCGATACAGTGCCATGAGTATTTAAGACATACTGCTGCTGCACAAATAGCATATAAAATAACCCATAGCAGATCTATACAGGTGGAACTGGGGAAGGTGGAGGGTTTCAGAGAAACTCTGAAAGCGAGCTGCAGCAATCTCTAGTGAATGCTAGCCAGCCATATAAATGCAAGGCAGTAAGCTCATTGGCTGCATATGCAGCATGAACCAATCAGCTTGTGCCAAGTCATTTAACTCTCTGAATATCATCAGTTACGTTAACAACCATCAGCCTGCGCCATCTAGAGTTTCATGACTAAACTATAAATTTTGGCCTTTTGTGAAAAGCCATATTTTGTTATGTCAAATGGAGTGAGCCTAAAAAAATGTAATGGTAACAAATTACAATAAAGTTATGTTAGTTAACTACATGAACTAACAATAAAAAAGGTAACGCTTTATATTAGGGAACACATATTCACTATTAACTAAGGGTTTTCCCTCAATAAACACCTAATTTGCTGATTATTGATAGTAAGTAAGGTAGTTGTTATGTTTAAGGGTTTGGTACAGTTAAGGGATCTTGAATATGATCATGCAGACGAATAAGGCAGTAACACGTGATTTGTAAGTAATAATAAACAGCCAACATGCTATAGTAATATGCATGCAAATGTTATGTAGACATGCTTATTACATGTTTTAAACTAGACTTCAATAGGTTTTTCTGAGCTAATCAAAACCCACAAAACAAATGTTAGTCTATTGAAGCTTCATTCCCCCTTTTACCACAAAGTAGCCTACTCGTGCACTTTTCACCGGTGTTCTAACAGCGGACTGTGCTCGGGGTACCCAGTCGAATAGATATGAAAAAAGTACAATAAAAGAGATGAAAATAAACAGCAACACACCCAAACAGAGCGTGAGGGCTAGAGTGACCAGCACGAACTGCACGAGAGCATACATGAGGTGAAAAGAGAGCGAGAGAGACACCGAGAGAGCGATAGAGCAAGAGAGGGATGGGAGGGGAATCCAGCTTTTAAGAGATTTGGTAGAGATTAGAAGCGGCACAGTGTTGAGAAATATTGTATGTTCGATACGAATCTCATTTCATGGTGAAAAGGCAGAGAGCGCGCGCGAGGACGCGGACGCAGCTGCGGAACGCACGACTGAATGAATGAAGAAGAGGAAGAAGAGCTCTGGGCTTTCTGGAAACAAGTCATAGGAGACCTCGATAGGTCATAGGTGAACTTCACAATTACCGAAAGCTTCAGGTGGTTTGAGCGAGTCGTAATGTCTTCGAGGGTTTGAGGAGAGATCGTGGATGTCTCAACAGACTCCTGGAGAAAGTTCAACATCAGGATGAACAGGTAAAAAAATCGGACTATAATGTTATTTGTGTCGTGCAGTGTGTTTACAATAGCCTATGTCGTTTGCTTCCACAAAATTAATTCGGTTTTCTGTCATTTACATATTTTAAATTCATTATAACATTTATACAATGCAAGGACAAAGTGTACCATGACAGTAGGGTAGTGTTTTTTTTCATTTTATTTTATATACATGTAACTGTACATTTACAACTGTAAAAAAACATGTAAATGCAGTACTAATTTGCAGACAATCATACATCACCATGGTATATATCAAGGTTTTGGACACTGCTATGATTATAATACTATAGTACTCCTTGAAGAGCCTTGGAGTACAATGTAAATGCTACATGAATATACAGTACTTGGGATTCAGTACCATGGTATATCAAAGTACTATGGTAATGCCATCATTGTAATAGGTTTTTGGGACAAAGAAATGTATTTTGGGACATTTGTATTGTGGTTATACTACGGTATTCTTTGAAGTGCAAATATACATACACTGAATATGGTAAATGCATATGGTTATCATTCAGTACCATGATGATATATATTATTTACCATAGTCTGATAACATCACTGTATCATTGTATTTTTTATTTTTTGTAAAGGTGCACAGGCTTAGATTTTTTCATAAAAATATATGAATCAAAATTGACCCCCCCCCCCAATCGGAATATAAATCAAAGATGATGAGCATTATATGTTACATTGTTTGTTAAAGTGATTAATGGTCGATGTTATAAAGTTTTCACATTTCTGTCATTCCCATAATGTTTTAAATGTATTTTATGTTAGTGACACACGCCTTTATCTTAATAGTGACTGTAAATGAAACTGTCAGTCAAATGCTGCTGAAGTAACACATATTCCACACTCTTTGCATGTAGTCTAAATAGAGCAATATCAAGATGGACTGGAATTGAGAATGTTTTTTTTCCTCTGTTGGGAAAAAAAGCCATTTTAATATTTTTATCAATGCATCATTTATCAATGCATCTTCAGTCCTGTTTGGCTTGTGTTTATTTGATGTGCCTCTATTATGCTAAATTTAGTGGGTAGTGACACATGTTATGCATAAGCATTTAAAAGTAAATAGGTTTGCATTAACATTAATGCATACATTATTTCATAATGTAGATTATTATCATATAGGCCTTGACGTATCCATCATGATTACACAAAAGAGGAGTTAAGTGGCACTTGTAAGGCTTTGTCACCCATTGCAATATAGATGCCTTTTGTGATCTTTTGTGCATTTGTCTCGAAGCTCCTTTTATCTGCTTTCCATGTCCTGTAGGATGAATTCCTAGTTTCTTAATCCATGCTATGAGGTCTGTCGAGTCTCTTTGAATTATTGCAACACTGAACCTCCTGTTGGCTGTGTCTTGCTTCTGTGCATGGGAGGTCAGCATTTAAAAGTCTTCCATTTGTGCGAACAATGTCAAATGTCCTCAGGGATGTTTGCAAAAGCGTTGTAGCTGCTCCCTGTGCCCTCTCACATAATGTCAAGGATACAGTGTGTGATCTTTGTCTGATAATGTGTGTACTCTGTGAGATGGCCCTAGAAAAATCAGCCAGAGTTCATGTGAAATCCTTTATGACAGAAGTGATTTATTTAAATTGTTTTGCACATCATGAGTGCTTAGTTCCCTATGCAGGAGATTTTTTGTTTTTTTACCGCCAATCACCTGAGCCATAAAAGCTGTATATTGTGAGACGAAGTAATCTTGAGCAGCGAGAAAAGGATGTAATGACAACTCTGATTGGCTGATGGCACCACAAGAATGCATAGTGTCTTCATTCTGAGCCATGACGTCAAGCAGATGCTTTTGCATATATAAAATTTTTTAAAGTGCCCCTATTATGTCATTTTTATGGTTCCTAATATTGTTTTGGGAGTCTCCTACAATAGGATTACATGCATGCAAGGTCAAAAAATGCTTTCGTTTTCTCAAAATATGCATTTAATATCACCTCATTTTCCAGTGCTTCTCAAACGATTTGTTCGAAGCAGTTCAAAGATTCAGTCTCTCTAAACCCCTCCATTCCGTGAGCCTGCTCTGCTCTGATTGGTCAGATGGCCTAGTCTGTTGTGGTTGGTCTACGGCGTACAGCGCATGTCGGAAACGATACGCCTATTTTAATAGTTCTGTATTTTGAACGCTTTATAGAAAATATAAACATCTATTATTTATCATACTTACAGGCTGTGATTCAGTGGAGCAGATGGTCCAAATAAACAGGATACTGATCCATCTTTCAACAGCAAGCGTTTTGTGAATCCCTCGTTGAACTCCCCGAGATTAGAGAAGCAGTCGTAAGTAGAATGACGTGTTTGTGGGCGGGGTCAAGTTGTTCGCGGCTGGCCAACATAGAACATAGGCGTGCATTATGCAAATGTGTTACCCCATGACGTGTAGCCGTCACGGAAGTTGGGATTCGAATTACTAACGACTCGTTTCAGCTGTTCAGAGTCGATTCTTTATTATTGCTTATCATTATTATTATTCTGCTCAATCAGCTCCCTTGTTCAGTAGTCACAGAGCACTGATCAGGGAGTCGACCATTTTAAGGGCTGTCTCAATCGCGAAATCCTTCCAGTGCACTGGAATGTTCGCTCCCTGAAAAATCCCACAATGCACCACAAAAACTAGCATCGGCGCTCACTATGCTCCCTTACCGGAAATAACGTCACATTTCTGAAGCATGAAACATAAACCACACGAGTCAACGCGATAAATATAATGACACGCGATAGAAGATTTGAAAAGACAGACCGTTTTTTTTGTATATTTCAACATAAACACACATCGCTAGACAGGTAATGAACACATCTAATTATCATTTGTAATTAATATTCGGTTGAAATGTTGTAAGAACATGAACAGAATGTATGTAACAGAATGATGTGTTTTAAGAGAATAAAAAAAGAATATAAAAATTAGATTGGTCCTGCCTGTTGTTTATTAATTCCAGTGATGATGTTCTACTATGTTGTCCGTTGACGCTGTACGTAATCATGTCACTGGAATTTGAGTGATCTCTGTCCCAACGTGCAGTGAGTCAGGGAACTTACCAGTGATCGAATTCACGAATATATATATATATTTTTAACAGTGAAGAGTTACAGTAAGAACTTTACATAAGAGTCCATTATGCAGACTTGAGGAAATCTGGAAAGGGCTGCCAGAGAGTTTGAAATCGACAATGTGAGTTGGGCTCAAAAACAAAACAAAAGTATACTCTCCAAACATTTACAGAAACATGAAGCATTCAACCAAGCATTTCATTCTTTTAAGAGCTGTTAAGTAAAACATCTGATATACTATATTGAAATATTTGCAATTAATAGGTTATTTTATCAGAATGCACAGCTACTTTTGAATTAGTAATGAAGAAAGATGTTTTTTTTGTTCCCAATGGTGTAACTATAGGGTTAACTGGGCCATGCTAACCAGCCCAACCTTGGCTGTAATAGAGTGCTGCAAGGGATGACGTATTTTTGTAGGCCAAAAACCAGAAACAAGTTTGCAATCGCATTTTAGCACTTACGGTTCTATCACCCTGAAGTCAGTGTTTTTTTTTGAATGGGTGTTTGGTTAAATGACTGAAATAAGGTCTGTGGTGAACACAAGCTCAAGATATTCTCACATTTTATTCTATGAAAAAATACTTCAGTTTTACCCCCTTTTGATTTAAGTTGTCTTGAAAAAGGCAGAGGCTGTCAGGGACATTAAACATCATCATGCCGATCCGGTAAACTCATCCAATTGGTCTGCCTATACAGCCTCTTTGTGTTTATAAGAACTCTCCTGCTATTCATGCTAATTCAAACATTCAAGTTAAATGTTTTTAAAAAAAGATTGAAAGAGTTATTGGTGGTGACTTTGAAGTCATGTGACCTTGGTGTAGTTCGTTTGCAGCCTACATTTAGCTCCAACATTCATAAATGTTCATTTGTGAAGATTAAATGTGTAAGAATGATAAACTTTTGCTGGACATAGAGCTTATTTTCTGCAATAATCCAAAAGCCATTGGAAACTGCATTTTTGTTGTGGGACCCAGGGTTATGGTAACTTCTGGATTGGCTTACAAAAATCATCATCACCACAGCACTCTATATTTGGGTTCACCTTAACCCTAGGTAGAAATCCCCAGAAAACCCCAAATATGTGACCCTGGACCACAAAACCAGTCTTAAGTCGCTGGGGTATATTTGTAGCAACAGCCAAAAATACATTGTATGGGTCAAAATTATTGATTTTTCTTTTATGCCAAAAATCATTAGGATATTAAGTAAAGATCATGTTCCATGAAGATATTTTGTAAATTTCCTACCGTAAATATATTAAAACTTAATTTTTGATTAGTAATATGCGTTGCTAAGATTAAGAACTTAAACTGCAAAGATTCCAGATTTTCAAATAGTTGTATCTCGGCCAAATATTGTCCTATCATAACAAACCATACATCAATTGAAAGCTTATTTATTCAGCTTTCAGATTATGTATAAACCTCAATTTCGAAAAAATGACCCTTATGACTGGTTTTGTGGTCCAGGGTCACAAATTACACATCCTTACATAAATAAATTACACCGTTTATCATGGTTTAGGAGTTAATTTCTTCTCTACCCAAAAAGCTGTAGCTTCAGTTGCATGACATAGATCTTGCCCCAAATTGCATGCTTGATGTTTATTTCTTGTGAGGGTTGTTTCTTGTATGTGTCAGTGAATCCACCGAGACGTATTGTGTCTCATTTGCCACTTTGTGATTCTGAAGGGATCTCTTTAAGACCGCAGCACACCCCCGATGCGCCCTTTTGCCTGATGCAGACTATTACCTGCCATTTTATGCACCATTACGTCACCAAAGTGTGCGGCGTTTGAGACTGCACTGTATTTTGCTGCGGCTCTAGCTTTTTTGCTGCACAATGCGGGACTTGCTGAAATTCCTCTTGTCCATTATACCCTGAATGAACCCACATATCC